GGCCTCTTTCGCGCCCTCCGCCCCAAAATCTCCCCCGTAAAGTCCCCCCAGGGTCCTGTCCCCTCACAGCAACTTCTCAAGGTCCCCCCACAGCCCTCYGGGGTCCCCTCGCAGAGCCACCATCAGGACCCCTTCATGGTCCCCCCCAAAAGGTGCCTTTCAAGGACCCCTCCAGGTCCCATCCCCTCACAGTCTCCCTTCAGGGTCCCCCTCAAGAAAAGCCCCCACTTAGGACACCCTCCCAGTCCTGTTCCCTMGCAGCGTCCCCGAGGCTTCATCCCCTGCCCAGGGTCCCCTTGGGGTCTCCCCACGCTCCCCTCGGGGCTCCCCTTGCCCCCTTCACAAGGTCTATAACACCCCCCAACCCTTGGTGGTTGGGGGGTCCCGCCAGTCCCCTCACGTCCCCCGTGGCCAAGAGCAGTGYGGGCAGTCACAGTGTGGGCACGAGGATGGCTGCAAGGGGCTGGCAGCCACCCGCCACCACCAATGAGTCCCGCCACGATCAGTGTGCCCCACCATGACCCACATGCCCCACCATGACCAACAAATCCCATCATGACCGCCATGCCCCACCATGACCACAACCAACAAATCCCATCATGACCAATACGCCCCTCCATAACCAATGTGCCCCATCACGACCAATGAACCTCACCATAAACGTGCATCACCGTCGCCCACATGCTCCGCCACGACCAACATGCCCCACTGTGACCAATGGGTCCCACCGTGCCCAGCGTGCCCTACAGTCACAGTGTACCACACCAAGACTGCATACCCGCCCCCAGCATCTCTCCTCCTTTTCATCTCCCCAAGCCTTGCTGGTTTGCAAGCCACCAGCTCGCAGCCGAGCTTTTCCTTGCTGTCTGGTGCCCTCTGCTGCAGTGCTGCCTCTCACAGAGCCGCTCGGCAGAGCTGACATCCACAGCACTACAGCCGAACTACACCCCAACAACACGCCTGCCCTCCTGCTCCTGCCTCCCCGGGCTTGCCGCTTGCWTGTCCCTGCTCCTCGTTCTGTTTGGGAGCAAAGCATTCTTGGGATTGGGGAGTCAGGTCTGCAAACGCTCCTTCCCCCAGCTGTGACACCATGTGGAGAAAAGGCCACAGAGTCCTCAGGTTCTGTTTTCAGCACTGCGTCTCCAGGCAGAGCAAGGACTAGTGACAGGGAGGATGGATCCATTCTTTTTCTCCTGAAAAGAGCTATGATCCAGCTGCTAAGACAGCTGTTGTTATGCACATGGATCCTGAGGACTCAAGAACTCAATGTGCATTGCAGTGAAGTCACCTGGATGTGTCCTGTGGAATACCTGTACCCGCTGAATCCAAGGGGTATCTAGGGAAGGGCTGTAACTTTTCCGCACACCGTAAGGAGCCCGGCAGAGAACACAGGGGGCTGTTTTGAYGCATTGTGCGCCCAGAGCCTCTCCATCCCTGGGAAGGGCCAACACCTTGCTGTGCCGAGGCTGGCATTGCAGCAGCACAGCAGGTCACCCATGCGGGCTCTGCTTCAGCTAGGCACCCGAWGTGCACACAAGATACATGTAGAGCCAAAACTGCAATGACACACGCGGCCACACGGAGCAAGTGGCATCCGACCTGCCCCATCAGCCCTGCAGCAGCACCAAGGCTTCCCGCAGGAGGCTGCACCTTGGAGGGCTCAGTAAAGTCCTGGACCTCCACGCCAAGGTGGTGCAGACAGACAGGTCTCCTTCACACCTTCCCATACAGGTCAGAGAAGGCAGCTTTCTGCACGCTCTTCTCTTGCATTCATGTCTTGCAGTTTGTCCTGACTGGGATTTTTGGAAATCAAACAGTTCACAGTCATTGTTTTAGTTGCCCTATGACTAAGCACTTTATTGCCTTATTATTAGTGGTACTGTAACATTCAGGGCTTAGACGACTTTTCTGCTCTCTCTGAACTGACTGTAAACTCAATGGAAGCTGCAGGTCCTTTTCCTCCATTCACTAGCAGTGGTCACAGGGCATAAAAGAGACAGCTAGAATTTGTCCCCCAAATTTCCCTGCTTCCTAGTGTGAAAGGGCCAGATAGCCGCTCTGCAGCTCCAGGTTTGTGCTACCCTGCCCGCAGTCCCAACCAGGGGCCAGACCTCACAGCCTCCCTCCAGACCAGAGCAGCGCGTTCCCATTCCGCACACCAGGCCCCCGTTGCACGGGAAGCTGCCTGGGAAGCTGCACATGAGCAACTGCCTTCGAGCAGCAGCCTTTGAACAGGCTCGGAGGCCTCACAGCAAAGCCTGGCTCCTTCATGAGATGACACCTTTTATCTGCAAATATTCCCCTCCTCACCGCACCTGCGTGCATTGAAACCCACACACCCCTTTCCTGGGGCTCTGCCCCTTGTTTTATCTGTGGAGGGTTGTGGCATTTCTGCTGCAACGGAGGCAGAGCTCTTCCCCTGAAATGTCAACAAGGAAGCCGGGAAGCCCCAGCCCATGTGGCTGTGTTGGCTCTGGCATCCCAGGGAAAACCGCCCTTTCCCCCAGGCAGGAATCCCAGCTGCAATCCAGGCCRTCTCAGCCTCGCCCTGGGCCACCCTCTCCTTAGGCTGAAAGAGCCAGGAGGGACTTTGCTGCACCCTGGCACGAGGCTCAATCCCCAACGTTATTTCCTGTTTTTTTTTAAGTTGTAGTAAATTAATTTAACCATGGGTTTCTGCACATTGTTTTTGTCCCGGCCCATAGATTAGAAGTGTCAAGATGACTTTTGGCTTGAAGTCTCTCAAGAAGCAGCCCATGGCATTCTGGAAATAGCTCCACAAAAGTGACATTTCTTTTTTAGGTTTTTCATAAAAGA